GGGGCAGCCTGGACTCCAAGGGCTATGGCATCGGCATGCCGCTGGGTAGGAGCATGGCTGAGCTTGCAGTGTGGGGGGAGACCGAGAGCATACTAACCAAGCTGTGCGAGGAATATCCCGTGCAGCCGTGCCGTGTGGCCCTGGGCAGGTGCGGTCCTCATCCTGAGGCTGTGTACTTTAAGCATGTAAAAAGTAAGCCTAGAAGCCAGTGAGCTCCTACCTCAGGGGGATAGTAAGAGAACGGAGGTGACTTTGCGCGTAATCCTCAGGAAACGTGAGCTCTGAGGCACAACACCTCCGGGGGAGACAGGATTTCAGTTTGTTTGTGTTTTAGTTCTTTGAGACAAGGATTCACCACCGAGCGATGTCAGGCTGTAGATGAGGATGACCTTGAAGCTCTTTTGATACTCCTGCCTCTACCTTCCACGTGCCAGGGACATGTAGTATATATACCATTGCTCACCGTACCACCAGGCCTGGCTGTACCTCCATGCTCGTACCTCCACGGTACATGGCTGTACCGTGCTCAGCTGTATCACCATGCTCGGCTGTACTGTGCTCGGCTGCTCCATGCTTGCCTGTACCATGCTCGGCTGTACCATGTTCATCTGTACCATGTATCACCATGCTCGGCTGTACCATGTTCATCTGTACCATGTATCACCATGCTCGGCTGTATCACCATGCTCAGCTCTACCATGCTTGGCTGTACCATGCTTGACTGTATCACCATGCTCAGCTCTACCATGCTTGGCTGTACCATGCTAGACTGTATCACCATGCTCGGCTGTACCATGTTCATCTGTACCATGTATCACCATGCTCGGCTGTATCACCATGCTCAGCTCTACCATGCTCGGCTGTACCACCATGCTTGACTAGGACTTAGCTGTCTTTGCTTCATGTTCTTTACCCCAAGCCTACATTCTAGTTCAGAACAGCTACTCAGAAAAAGCAGGAAGGAGCAGGGAGGAACAGTTTATACTTCAGGATACACTGTTTCAGTGCCCAGTGCTAGAAACCCAAACACTAGTTTGTCTCCAAACCTTGGCAATGTTTTCTCTAACAATGAGACCTGGGCGCCCTGTAAGGATTAACCATCCCCACTGTATCTCTCTCCTGCCTGGCATTCAGTAGGTGCTTCAGAATAGAGAGCCCAAGGGGAGCCCATGAGAGGGAGGAGGGGGAATACAGAAGAGAGGACGGGGACCCACTCGGCCGACTGCTGCAGTGCCATTCCAGGAGGCAGGCGCATCAGGCCGTAGACAGAGTCCTGTCCTACTGCAGCAGGGGTGGCAAGTGCTGTGGGCAGATGTCGTGGTCGCAGAGACTGACAGGGAGTGTTGTAATTTTGGATAAAGTGGCCAAAGAAGACTGGTGAGGAGCCAGTGTGTAGGCAGAGGCCTCAGGGAGGGGAGGGAAAGGGCATTCTGGCAGAAGCCAAGGCCCTAAAGTAAAGATTTGGCAGATAAGGAGACCTCACAGAAGGTCAGCGTGGATGTGCTGGGTGAGCCTCGAGCAGGGGCTCCTGGGGGTGGCAGCCCCACGAGAACCCATCCTAGCTGCAGTCAGCTGAGAGAGGGTAGAAGCTAGGTAAGGTGGCGGGGCAGGCGGGGGTGTG